ATTAATAATAACTTGGTATGCACAATGGCTGATCACAATTTAAGTCTATTAATAGATAGACTAAAATTAATAAGAAGTGATGTGATGATGAATATGAATATAACAATGAATATCGAATTATGATTTAAGTTTAACTTACAGTAACTTAACGCAGTGATAGACGCTTCGAGGATGTAGACGTTGATCGATGTCTTCTTTCGATGGACTAACTGTTTGGAAAAATATTTTTCATTATACAATACACGGAGGCACAACAATATGCACAGTAAATAAATCACAGTATAGAAATCAGAGTAAATAAATCAGAGTAAATGAATCACAGTACACAAGAAAATAAATATCGAAGCCAATGGTTCTCGAACATCTGTAACATACAAGGGATTAGTAACAAGAGAGGGGACACAACAATATGCACAGTAAATAAGTTGATGGTGTCGAATGCCTGCAACAAACAATGGGTTAGTAACAAGAGAAAACACGAGTATGAGACGCGCGCCCACCCTCCGCGACGGCTCACGAGAAAGTGATGAAGCTAACGCCGTTATGTATTGGGCGTACGCAGGTTTGTTCGTGTTGAATTGTTTTTGCCGATTTGAACGACCTTCCATGAACGACCCAAACACCGGATGGTACAGCCAGGTACGGCTATGGTACACGGCGTCCCCGTATCTGCGGGCCGTTGTCCGGGACTACCTCGCGGACCGGGAGATAGAGTACCCCGCCCAAGGGGGAAGGCTGGTGCGGAGGAGGGTGAGCCGGGGAGTGCCCCAGGGATCCGTGTTAGGACCATTCCTATGGAACCTGGGGTATGACTCGGCGTTGCGCGGGCTCCTCCCCCCCGGTGTGCGTGTCGTCTGCTATGCGGACGACACGCTGATCATCGGGATGGGGAGGGACGTGACCGGGGTTTGCCGCATGGTGGAGGTCGCCGTGGCCGGGGTGGCCAGAAGGATCCAGGCGCTGGGGCTGCGGATATCGCCGCCCAAGACAGAGGTGGTCTTATTCCATGGACTGCCTCTGTCGTGGCGAGCGCCCCAGCCCTGGATCCGGGTGGGCGACGTGGCCGTCCGGGCCGGGGAGAGGCTGAAGTACCTCGGCCTCGGTCTGGACGGCCGATGGAGGTGGGAGGGCCACTTCGGCCGCCTCGTCCCCCGGATCGAGGGCGTGACGACCCTGCTGGGTCGTCTTTTGCCCAATCTCGGGGGTCCGGGG